CTTCAACTCAACTCTTATTTACCCAGAAGTAGTTGGCCCCAGTTTCCAACTTTGTGGGTTTTCCCCCCCTGTAATCCCAGAGCCAGGCCCCTTCAGAGATGGCAACCCCAGCAGGCAGTGTGTCCACCTGAGGCCCTGACTGGTGCATAGATGGTTTAACTGTCTCAAACTTCCCAAACTTGCCTCCTCTTAATGAGGAGCCACAGACGGGCCCATCCAAGGCCAAATGTCCACACGGGGAAAAGGCCAACCACAAGCAAGAAATGACGATTGTCAAGCTTGAAGATTCATTTTTCTCAGAAGCCTGCACAGCCTGCCTGCTCCCAATCTGCACTCTGCGGTATCTTTCCCAAGGTTAGCAGCATTATAAAAACATCAATTTGGCTATTATTGACTTTTCAGCTGGGATACTAAGAAAGTCTTTTAGCAGCCCCAATAAATTAAATCTGGCCACCTCACTCCCAGACGGGCAGGCTCCTGCATCATTGACAGAGGAGACAGGGAGAGCAGTTCTCCCAGATGTCGCTGTAAATGATGCACATTGTGTTCCCAGCCATTAGCAGGTGGGGCGTTTGAGGTGTAGGGAGATTGCAGAGCTGCCTCTTTTAAAAATGCATAAGCACTTTGTGAGTTTGCTAAGTCCTGTTTCACTCAGCTTGGTTTGAATTTTTCATAGGGGAGGAATATTCTGTCATCCTTCCTCTTTTATTTCTTTTTTATCAGTAAGGATGCCCATAGTTGAGGAGATCATGGGAAGGGGCCAAGTCCAGTCATATAGTCTGCTTGATTGGTCCTTAGTTTTTCCGAGTTGTAAAATGTTAGAAGATTTGGGCTTTAAGGACTTGGGGCAATTGGGTTTCCTATCCTTCCCCATTTAATTCAAACTACCAATTCCTCCAGGCTCTGGATTCAAATTGGATTGATGCGTCTTCAAGTAAAATTTTATTCTGGAAGACTCACCTGTTTGTGAACTTGTGAACACTGTCCTGCAAAGGAACCTTCCTTCCAAAACTGTCCCCTGTCATACACTGTGTGCCAGACACCATGCCTGCTTGTGGTTATTGTCTCTCCCACACCAAAGTCAGATATTACTAAATACCTGTCAGTGTCCCTCCTAATACGATGCTCCAAACAGAACTAAGAGTTGGTTGTGGAAACATAATATTTATATCTAAAAGCTCCTGATTTGTTTTATGTAGAGCAGTGTCTGGCTTATGGTAGAACAAATAGGGACGAAAGAATGGAATGCTTATTGGGTACCACAAATTAGGAAACATCTTCACATTAACTATCTCATCTCATTTTCCTAAAACTCCTTATAAGGAAGATACTATTAATTTTATTTTTCAGATGAGGAGACTGAGTAGTTTATCAAAGATGAAAAATTGTGAGTCCTAACTCTGAAGCCTGAACTCTGCCCTGCTATGTTATCAACGATGCAATTCAATATCTGTGTTTGGTTCATTCATTCATTCATTCATTCATACATTAAGCACTTAAGGAAATCATATGCCAGAAACCAACAGACTCAGCAGTAGTTTGTTTTAAAATAAGGTAGAACTATTAATTCCTTTGATGAGAAACTACTTAATAATTCCCAAAAACCAATAAATTATTTGCTTTCTTGATATTAATAAATCAGATTTTTCTTGGAATGAAATGGTGCTCTCCCTACATCTGGCTAATCAATTATAGCCCATTTTCTCCTCAAATGGAGAGAGTTATTATAATCAGTGTTGAAAAACTATGCAAATTGGGAGCAGAAGTGTGTTGCAGTTTCCATACCTTCCAGGACTGCTGAGACATGTCAGTGGGACTGCAGGGACAAAGTGTCCAGCGCCCACAGGCACGGCGTTTCTGCATTCCGGGTAAAACCTCAGCCTGTGGCTAAGTGTTTAGTAAGACCATAGTCAAACAGACAGTGCTTCCAGAAAAGATATACATGTAGGTAGTTATCTCCTCATGGTTCATTTTTTTTTTTTCAGATTTCACTATAACTCACACATAGTACCTCCTGCATTAATCCCACTTTCTTCCTTGATTTCAACATAATATATAGACTCCAGAAGCTATCCTATGAATTATCTTACAAAATGTTAAAACTTTCAAATGTTCTCATAAAATATTGAAGCATGTGGTGCTTTAACAGGCTTCACTAAAATGAAGTTGTTCAATTCCCCTTTAATAGTGCTAGTGCCTAGATAAGTGGAAAGTAATACTTCCAGTTGCCTGGAAGCTGGAGGGTCCCAGCTGACATTTATATCCATGATCATCTCAGCTGTTCGGGGAGAAGTAGCTGCATCGGTGCCAGGCCCCGGCTTAGGCACACTGGAGGGCTGCGTGCAGTTTCCCATGGGACACACAGGGCTTCCTCACATGAGGGCGTTTGTGTTGTCAAGCGGCTCTTAGGAGAGCTTCAGGTTCCCTCCGAGTCCACTGCCTGGAATGACGTTTCCATGGGGAAGACATCTCTGGGGGCAGAAAAACTCAGGGCTTACATTTCTATTGGTTCAGCAGGTCTACATTCAGAATAGTTTGTCTTCTTGTTCTAACATAATAGGCAGGCATATCACAGCATATATTTCTGCTCCTTTATGTCTTGCCTCTCTTCCTCTTCTCTCTTTCTCCCTTCCCTCTCTCCCTCCTTCCTTCTCTCCCTCCTTCCCTCCCTCCTTCCCTCCCTCCCCCCTTCCCTCCCCCTTCCCTCCCCCCTTCCCTCCCCCCTTCCCTCCCTCCTTCCTTCTCTCCCTCCCTCCCTCCTTCCTTCTCTCCCTCCCTCCCTCCTTCCCTCCCTCCTTCCCTCCCTCCCTTCCTTCCTTCCTTCCTTCGTTTTTTTCTTTCTTTCTTTTTTTAAAGGTTAAGTTTAATTTCTGAACTTTTCTCAAAAGGGATCATAGTAGACCAACTCTGGATTGATCTGATTACTTATTCTTGATCCAAATCATTGGACCCATCTCTCCATCCAGTAATGTCAGTCTGGGATGCCCAGTCTGGAGAGGCAGGGGCAGAGGCAGATTCCCTCTCTGAGGAGAGAGAAGATCTCAGAATCCTGGCTGGCAGACATCAGCGATTTCCCACGTCACCAGCGGGTACACGTGGGATGCTCTCTGCTGCACAGAAGGCATTTATTTGTAATAGCCCAGGACAGCTAGGACATTGGTGCTGCTGCTATTCCTTATGCCTAATTGGATTGTTGCAGTTCATTTAATGGGTATATACTAGTAAATACAACGATTGCTCAGTCACATTTTAAAAAGTGGTTTGAAAGAGTGAGTTCACATTAGAAGAGACTCTTGGAGTTGTGATTATGTGGACTGTTTTTTTGTTTTACTTCCTCTGGAAAACTGAATCAACATGTGTTTCTATAAATAGTTAAATTACTTAGGTATGTAGAGGACAGGCATTGTCCCAGAAGACAGGACATAACTTCCTTTATAACTTCCATTCTAGGTTTCCTCTACTTTGACCATATTTGAAAATGGCAATGAAGTGGAATCTTATTACAAAGTAACCCATTATATATGAGAATAAGATATAGTGCACATCAAAACTAGGTCTCCTATAAAACACATAAAGTTGCCACATTATCCTTGTCCCCAATATTAGTATCAGAAAGGGCCTTTGTTTTTTATGCCATAAGTACAATGAACTATATGAAGTGCCTAGTGCATAGTATAAGATCAGCAATAGTATCAGGTTCATGACTCCAAGAAGACTGGCTGTTTAGAGTGCTATGTTGGGGGCAGTTACTGATATGTTTAGGAAATTGCTTTGTGCCATAACCTTGAATTTTCTAGTTCAGGGAATCACCAACTGTGTATCTGAAAAATGGCTGTGCCTCCATATCTCCAAATTCAGTGCTGAGAGTCAAGATTCAAGGGAATAGGGAGAGAAGGACTCACACTGGCTTAAGTGAAAAGTCCAGATAGGACTAGATTCAGATATGGCTAGATCCAGGTTCTTTAAAGTTACTATGAAGATATAGTCTTTATTGAATTCCTACACTGTTCCTTAGGATTACAGGAATGGACACTTCACTGTAAAAGTGCTCATGATATAGGAGCCTAGATGCAGAAAGTAAAAAATAATTCCAGTGAATGCATTAAGGGCAAAAATAGAGACACAAAACATAAACCATAATTCAGAGGAAACATTGACAAGTACTTCTGGGGAATAGTATTTGTTAAATACTTCTGGGAGATACAAGATTATATGTATCATCTTAGTTAATACTTCTGGGGAGAGGTAAACAAGGACTTCAGTGTGAAGTTAAATCTTGAACATTGTTTGGAAGGAGAAGCAGGTATGCTACAAACAGGCAAATCAAAGAAAAAAAGCTAGTTACTGGGAGATCTGTATTTGAATACTAGCCCTGCCACCTCCTAATTGTGTAAGCTTTGGGAAGTTGCTTAAACCCTCAGGGTCTTGGTTTTCTTGAATGGAGGTACTATGTTTATAGATTTATCATGAGGAAGTCCTGACTGACAGCTGTCATTCCACTCATAGACTGCTCTCATGTAGAGCTTTCAATTAGGGTTTAACATCAGCCACAGTAAAACTAACTAGCATTTATTGAGTGCTTACCATATACCACATACTTCATTCAGAATGTCATTTGACTTATCTAAATCCTCCCTACAACCCGTTAGTAGGAAAATCATCTTCATCCAACAAATGAGGAAATGAAGCTTTGAGAATTTAAGGGGTCTACAATGTACCCAGGTTAGCAAATGCTATATAGCCCAGTGGCCTTCCCCAGAGCTCTCTGACTCCAGTGCTGTGGACGTGAGCATTAATTACACTGTATTTCCTCTTACACAGCGGGCTATTATTAACCTTTTCCTCCATGGGCCTGGCTTCTGGGTGCATTGAGGCAGCCCATTCTGAGTGCCACACCCCATCTAAACACATGGCTGTGTGTGTGTGTGTGTGTGTGTGTGTGTTTAGGGCTACGCTGCTATTCTGGGCATTAATTGCTTGGGTCCTGTGCTTTTTTGTAGGTGAGCCTTCCAGGTGGTCATCCTCGCATTGTGATTGCTGCTGCAAGAACGGCAAGGGTGACAAAGAAGGGGAGAGCGGCACGTCTTGCAACGACCTCTCCACCTCCAGCTGTGACAGCCAGTCCGAGGGCAGCTCTCCCCAGGAGACGGTCATCTGCGGGCCCGTGACCCGCCAGACCAACATCCAGACTCTGGACCGCCCCATCAAGAAGGGCCCGGTGCAGCTGATCCAGCAGTCGGAGATGCGGAGGAAGAGCGACCTGCTCCGGACTCTGACTTCCGGCTCCAGGGAGTCGAACATGAGCAGCAAAAAAAAAGCTGTTAAGGAGAAGCTCTCCATTGAGGAAGAGCTGGAGAAATGCATCCAGGATTTCCTCAAGATCAAAATCCCAGACCGGTTCCCGGAGAGGAAACACCCTTGGCAGTCGGAACTGTTACGGAAGTACCGTCTATAGGGCAGGGCGGGGTGGGGGGAGACACAGACGCTGAGCATTTTCAAATTGACCTCCTAAAAGACACTCCTATTCGCTAAGAAAAACAAGTACACATTTGTTAGAACACAACGCCCATTGATATACTACTGCCTATTTACCTAATTCACCTTAACACGCACATCCACAGGGTAGATTTCTTTCCAGGTGGGGAAGTATAAGAAAATCTTTTTTTTTTTCCTTATGTGTTAATTTGTTAACTTGGTCCCATATGCTGATATAATGAGAGCCAGCCCTGCGAGAGGAGCTGAGAGGCCTCGGGAGTCATTCATCCCAAACTGGTTTTCCTCTCATCTTCTACCTCCCTCCTGTAACCAGAATATGGTAGGGAGACATCTGGCCCAATGGCATATGTTTGATTTATTTAAAATTTCCCTTTTCTGTTTGTTTATAGGGAAAGGGGGTGGGGGGTGGCAGATTTATATGACTTTTCACTCAAATCTATTATGTGCCAGTTTATATTGACTCCGCATGCATGAGGATTTGTGGGACACAAGTACAAGGAAGTGTGTACACACACCGTGCACGTGACCCCGGGGCCTGGACAGCTAGGAGGCTGCCAGCTCCTGCCAGCACTCGCTCAGGCAGAGGGCCTCTGCTATTTTCTTAAAACCCTTCTGGGAGGATTTCCCAGCCTCTCTTGGCAACACCTTATAATGTCAGATAACCCTGGTCATCAAGAAACTGTCTTCCCTTTTTTTTTGAAATTAACACCCTAGGCTCCATTTTACTGCATTGCTCTTTCTCTGCAATCAGAAAGGGTGAGAAGAGTTAGTCAGACTTTCTTTTTTTTTTACTTTAAACGAACATTCATATCCACAAAAATCACTAATAAGTGGCCCCACACTCAGCCTCCTCCACTCTGAGCTGAGCGTTCCTTCTCTCACTGCTTCCCAGGTTCTTACTGCCTATGCTTCAATGGTGTGGCCTTCCCACAAAATCCACATTGAATTCTTTGCGTTCCCACGTGGTCATGGAAGGAAGAACACCACACAGTTCCCAGTTGAATCAGGGTCCAGCTTTTTATTTCTGAGGGAATCTTATTCTACACACCTCCTAACAATTACTCACAGCTCTTCACACCTACAGCTATACATTGTCACTTTCTGGTAGCCAGTTGTGTTTGCCTTTGGGATTTGGCTGTGTCCATATTAGGATTGGCTGTCATTTCTCTCATCTCTGAACAACCCAGCTGGACAACTGGAGCTCCAAAACGGGAGGTTTTGGCTTTCTAACTATCTTTCTTGATTACATCCTTGACCTTTGTAGACACAGCCAGAAAGAAACTGTTCCTAGCTACCCAGGCATGTGACTGTATTCTTTTAATGTACCAATAGCTCTTTCATAGACTTGTGGTTAATGAAGATTAAGAATCCAGGTTTTATTTTTAGCATTCCTCATGCATTTCAGTGGGAACTGAAAAATAATTTGTCAGTCATTATTTTTGTGCCAAGTACTCCTAATTTTTTATTGTGTGTTTGTGTGTATCTATATGTATCATCACAGGTAATAAAGGCAACTGGATGGTGTCTGTAGGAGGGAATACAATGACCAATTGCTTCTTTTTTAAATATTTCACTGATGCATCTTTGTTCTGTAAGAGGTTCTGTCTTAATTCCTGTTATTAGTGTCATTAGTATATGGATATCTTTCTGAATTTTTGAATTTTTTGCTTTTATACCAGTGCAACAGACTCAGCCAATGTTTCCTTGTTGTGATGATTTAAATAGAGTTTAAAGTTTTACTTAACTGAAAAAGAAAGTTTATTGGGGAGTTGAGTTATCAAGAGAATTATAATTTATGAAGTTAATTGCTTTTCTTTTATGTATTTATATAGTAGCATACATTCTGTCTTAACTGCAACATAGCTTTGTAAAGCCTACCTTTATATCTTCATTCTTTTCAATATTTCTCACCACATCATAACACCATCCTACTAATAATAGAAGATCCTTCAAAGAGTCACAGAACTTAGTAGGTGAAGAACAAGTTGAACTGAATGAAGATAACCTCAAATGACTCTCATGATCCTACTGGAAATGCTTTCAGAGTTGGGGTTTAAATAAAATGGCCAAAGTTCCAATTTTCTTCAATTTCAGAGATGACTGTAATGGCATCCAGACAGAGACACATGAGTAAGGATTGGAGAACTAGTATGATGGTAGTCAACCCACTACTTTGACTACATACTTTAAATAGTATGTTAAACACTTCAAAGAAAATTTTCATGGCATTATTTCTGTCCATTGACCTGTCATGAAGTGTTGGTTTTTTGTTTGTTTGTTTGTTTTCTTCTTAGGCACTCTTTATACCCCAGTGAACAAAACTAATGGTAGGAAATTTATTTTAGAAAACAACATTTCATCTGGGTCAGCTGTAGACTGATGCCTACACCATATGGTCCAAATAACTAAGACAACAATTTGTTCATTTGCTTGCCTCTTGGTAGAGAGATGGATGTAGACTTGGTCAGGGAAAACCTCCAGGGAGGTACTGAATAAATGGAAATCTTTAGTCCTGGTTTGAGTGGAGTTATCAAGTGATGTCTGTGCAGCCTGCAACATTGGACATGAGTTCTGGGTAAGTGAGTTATGATATTAAATTCTCTAGTAGTTCTGGCAGTCACTGTGATTCAGGCCTGTTTTCTGAACTTAAAATTGTTTTAAGAACTTTTAGCTCAATTCTGGACAGAACAATATATGTGGTTTGCTTCTTGAATATTGGTTATGACAAGGGCTCAAACCTGCTGATATGAAGAAACTAATGGCATCTGGTGGGTCAATTGAATCAGGAGTCCAATGTATAGAGCCCCAACTTGAGTTGTTTTCTGGGAAATCCTGCAGTTCTAAAATCCAAGGAAATGGAGGAGGCCACTTCCTACAAGTATGTGGCTCTCCTGAAGTCAGAAACATATTCATAAAGTATTCTTACCCACCATCAAAAAGGAAGTGGTCTGCATTCATCAAAAAAGAGGGGAAGACAGGAAAATTAAACTGTTAGATCATGAAGGCCATGTGCTCTCCCCCTGCTAGGAAGAAATTGTGCTGAGATTGGCCATAAAACAAGAAAGTGAAGTGGCTTCCAGAATGTACAGTGATGCTGTCCTTTGTCCGTAGGCATAGTTACCTTACTGGGAACACATGCATGGTTAATTAAAATAAAGGGAGAACAATGTACAAATCATAAGCTTTCCCTTCACTCTTTATTCCTTCATAGCTATGTTTACCCCCAAATGATTCATTTGGTTTGGGGGACATAGAATAAAGGGGAGTCACCATGGTGTTTTTCACTTTTCGATTGGCCTGAGGTGATTCTGAGGCAGCTTTGTCCACAGGCACAGATGTGTGTTGTTCATTCTGGGTCCTCTTAGTTTCCACTGATTGAGCTTCTGGATTACTTTTGCTTCTCTGGGTTTTAAATTTCTCTCTGATTATCCTTTGTCTGTGCCAAGCAAAACATGCTCCAGTGAGAAAATGAAAGGCATATCTGGCATTTTGCAAAATTGCTTGATGCCAGCTCCCATAATGGGAGCCAAACGTTGATTCTCATACATTTTCCTTCACTATAGTTTCAACTTTCCAACTCTGTGGTTCCTAGTTGAGTGCTGGTATTTCTGTCATGCCCTGGATGATATATTGTGAACTCTAACTAACCTTGGTCTTCTAGGTGACCTTTAGTAGAATTAATAAGGCTTTCTGTAAGCTTTTAGGTGGAATTCTTAACTACCTCCACCTAACATAGCAGTTTTCAAAGGAAAAATTAAGGCAGTTACTTCCTCTCCCCACCTTTCCTCCCAGTCTCTGTGGCAGATAAATGTGGATTTTGTTTGTTTGTTTGTTTTTTCCAATTTGCATGCTGGGTTATAGGGTTAGCATGGACCATTTCTCTCTTTAATGTGTTGATATTATTGGGTCTTGCAATCTCGATGGCCCACTGTTTCAATTTATTTATTTTTGTTTATATTGTCAAAATAACACACTGGAGGAAGAATCAGAATGAACATTTTGTGTTCTGAGTCATGATGAAGTTAGAGGTCATTTGCACAGGACTGTGCAATGATTAATATCTGCAGAGAAATTAGACCAAATGGAACCTGCTGGAATGAGTTTGATTGATATTGCTTTCATCATTCTAGGTTTTGAAGAAATGGTTATTGCTTTCCACCCCTGCTAAAAGAAAAGAGTCTTAAACTTTAATAATCACAGTGTTGTGATGTGACCACAGAGCTTATTTGTTTTAAATGTCTGTTTTTCTCATCTTGCTGTACACATTGAGTGGAGATTCTTTTTTTTTGGTGACTTCCATTGCAAGCTGTTTAGCAGTTTTGTTTGTTTTCAATACTCAGTGTGTACTAAAATTAAAGTCATGTGTAGCACTTGTTAAAGTGGAGAGTCATACACCCTAGCCCCAGAAAGTCTGATTCAGAAACTTCAAGTAGGGCCAAGGAGTTTGTTTGGGGCTAGTATTCTTAATGAGTTGGATGGGATGATCTGTGGCCTTACTTTGAGAAACTCTGCTATTTTAGAGACCATACAGGGGTCAGCTTTTCTCTCACTTCCTAGTGGCACTTCCTTTTCACTACAAATAATTCAAAGTATGCAGTGTTTATTACCTTAAGAGAAAAGGCCCAAAGAAGACCATCCCAGGACCATGGTAGAGTTCCATGATTCTTTTGGACTTTTATATGTCTGCCGTCCATAACCTCTTCTCCATTTTGCATGTGTTAGTGCCTTTTACTTACTTATTTATTTATTTATTTATTTATTTATTTATTTACCAAACTAAAAGCTTGCACTTATAGTGCAATATAATTTAGTCCCTGGGTAGAGGGGACCACATCTCTGAGTGAGATGGATCCTAATGATGCCCAACAGGAAATAAAAATCGTGACCTCACCCAAGGAGAGTTATTCCTCTCTAGGCCCTTATAAAGTTGGAGTCAGAGGAACTTGAGAGTGAGCTCTAATTTACCTGTGCCTAGAGGTGGGTGCATTAACTTCACATACTAACATCACCAAAATTAATATAAAATGATCAATGAATTGAACTGTATTTCCTCAATGAAATCCTGAGTCATTGTCCAATTTGACTCAAGCAGGACTATGAAGCTCTCAGAGAGCTGAAGATCCTGATCCCCAATATTAACTACAAACTTCAAGCAAAACCTTTGAGAGGGAATAAATAGAAAAAAAGAAGTGAGTTCCTAAGTGGTCATATAACATGTGACACGGCACAAAGTTCTGTAACTTTCCAGTCACTCTAACCAGGGGAGATGGTAGTACTCTAATTATTCAGATAGAAAATTTTTGGAAGGTTTCAACGGTCCAGTTGGTTCTGTCCTTATCACAGAATAACTGGGAGAGGTACCATTTTCCTACATCCATTCACTATTAGAAATAAATAAATGGCTTAAATTCACGCTTGTCAGGATCATCAGTGAGTATTTAAATACGGCTGCTGCTAAAGGAAAGGGACTTTCAAGTTAATGAACTTGAGCTGCTAATTCAGGTGATCGGGCCACAATTATTTTTAAATGTTATTAATAAATTGGTTCTGCTTGCCTTCCTTCTTCTACTTCCCAAGTCAATCCCTTTAATGCCCCTGCTTCCTAACCTTTAAAAAAATATGTTCCTGTTGTTTGTAACACAGTGCTTTGTTTACTGGCTAAAAGATTGTTAGTTCCTTAACTGTCACTCTTGCTTTATTTACAGTGAAAAGGCTAAAGAAAAATTTGCCCAGGCCCAGCAACTATCAAGGGCTTTGTCCTAGGGCAAGGGGCTGGTGATTTTCCTTTTAATCAGCCTTCTAAATCCTCTTACAGGCCAACTGGAGGATTTAATAAGTCTCCTTCCTCTAGCAACCTCTTCCATCTTGTCAGTTTATTCTTAATGTTGACCTTTAAGTTAATTTCCCTGCATTTGCACAATAAAAATCCACATTACTTCAGACTGCCTCCATGCTAATGTGGGCTCCATTCGAGAGTGGAACCAGGATTGATGCACAAGTAATGGAGAAGGGTTGCTTTGTAATTGTGTGAGTGTGTGTGTAGACACATGTGCAGTTTTTAGGTTTGTGTTGAGTCAGCGGCTAATGTCCATGGTAATATTGATACTATCCAAGTGCCTGGAAAAAAGTCTTTGGTTACAAAGTTTAACAGCTTTTAATTCATCACAGTGGTCTGCAAGGAGGGTGTCAGTCCTTGAGAATGTCGAGGAAAGCTTATCTCCTGGTGTGACATTCAAACAATCCAGATTTCCCGGTAAAAATCAAACTCATGTTTATTCATATAGTCAACTCAAAAAAAGAAAAAAGAAAGAAAGAAAAGATAAGAAGGAAGAGAGGAAGGAATGAAGGAAGGAAAGAAAAACTCCACAATGCCTTGAAGTCTAAACCATACTGAGGATTAACCCTGATCATCACAGATTTTCTCAGTGTGTGCCAGTGGTCAGTGGTTTATCCCTGTATCTGAGGGGAACAATTCCGGGAGATACTCTTCTCTGGTTTGAGTGGGTTTTTTCCATTTACGGCAGTGATTCTCACAGGGGGGTGCATCCTAGGGAACTTTTGGCAATACCTGGGGACCTTTTTTATTGCCACGACTTGAGAGGTGCTACAGGCCTCCAATGAATAAAAACCAGGGGACGCTGCCAAAGTCTCACAATGCACAGGACAGTCCCTACAAGAAAGAACTGTTCAGCCCCAAACTCAATAGTACTGAGGTTAGGCACCTTGAGTTAAGGGTTGGCTCAAATTTTTTAAAGAATTCTTACCCCATAGATGAAGATCTCTGGGACAAAAGGTAGGATGAAATAGAAGAATGATTAGTACCACCTTAAATCTACATAAGGTTTATTTGAAGCTAAAAACAATGATCTCTTTATGCAAATGTAAACACTGAGATTTAGAGGGAGAAATGTGTAATTTTTTCCAGGGTTTCATTAGTGATGGGCAGGCCTGGGGTCTATGTCTCTGTCTTTTGCTTCTGTCTCGTTCTGCTTCTGAAAAGGATACTTCAGTGAAGACATAAACCTTAACAGCTAAATATGTTTATTATAAAAGCAACATCTAAAGGCTGCTGGCATACCCACCTCATTATATAACATTCTCCCTCTGTTCTCTGCTTCTCTTTCTTCTACTCCAAGCAAAACGTAGCAAGGAAGAATCCAATCCAATGCTCTCCATGAAAGTTATTAAGTTATTAGCTATTTTAAATGGCAAATTCCGTTAGAGGAGACATCTTCCTAGGAGATAAAGGAGAGACAGATCTGGAGGACTAGTTTTGCCTACCACAGACTGTGCCTTATGGCACAAGCCTTTTCAAGGGCCAGTGATATTGTGGACCAAGTGTCTGGTGCGTACTGTTATGCATGAACTCCAGTGTGGCAAGATAGTTCCCATGCCAGGAGAACTGCAGCTGCAGCTGCTTGTTGTGCTGTTTCCAGGTCACCAGGGCAAGCTCCATGGGAGTAAATAGGTGTGTGCCAGGTCACCAGGGCAAGCTCCATGGGAGTAAATAGGTGTGTGTGCCTGTGTGTATGTGTGCCGCATCTATCTGCTGTTTTCACCTTCTTGGCTTTTTAAAGAACCTTCAACTTTGTTCAAGACAGGTCAGAAAACCCAATATGACTGGCTGCTCCCAACATCTCATCAAAACTGCTCTAAGTTGGAAAAATGAGAGGCAGCTACAAAAAAGAAACTGCACTGAAATATATGTGGGAGAGAGGGGTGTGTGTGTGTGTGTGTGTGTGTGTGTGTTGTATATGTGTGTTTATGTATAAAATTTTGTATATATATGTATATATGTTTGTACATCTATCTAAAAGTATATATCTATATATCTATATACATATGTATACACATATAAAAAAATCTCATAGTTTGAAACTTTGAAATTTTGATTTTGAGGGATGATGTTAATGATAATGATGATTATTTATATTTGGTTTTCTAGATAGTTTAGTTATATTTTCCAAAATTATCTTTAACTATGTATGTATGTATTTCTTTATAGTAGAGAAAATATGAATAAAATACCTTGGTTTAACACTTATGGATACAAAATGAAACAAAGGTGCATTTGATGAAAAGCCAAGCTTGTATAAACTGGCTTTCTTACTTAAACTATTTGTTGGAATTTCAAACTATGTGTTTTTAAACATGTTCATTAAAAAAACAACACCCAAAATACACACACACACACACACACACACACACACACAACTCTCACCAAATGAACATGAAGATGTTTAGGAAAAAAATAAGAACATATAAGTCTATGACAATACAAATCCAATGGTTATCACGCTAATGGTACTTCACCAACACATTGGTTAATTTACTATCTACTCACTGATTTTGACTTCATCAATCATGGGGTTCCTGTTGGCCTTACACAAATTGGAGGTGGAGCTCATTATCTGTATAATCATTTTAAAACTATAGTAAATAATTTATATGTACATTGTAAATATATACTAAAGCTCAAGGGCACATTGTAATAATAACCAGTCACTTTCTAGACTCCTGCAAATAACACTTTAAGCCTGTTTTATAGGTACCATAATAATTGCTCGAAGAAGGAACAACATAATGAAATACAAGAAAATATTAATGATCTGTTTTGGCATCCTGTAGACCAAAATTTAGTAATAATCAAATGACTAAAATTTGGGTACTCTTAAGGACATAGTAAGTTATTTTTGTAGTCAGAGCTACGTGCTTTGCATATTTTGAAGAATGTAAAGTGTTTTCAGTCAACCTATGCAAATGGAGCTTCCCTGGTGCTCCTTGGGACCAGTATGTCTGTACACAAGCCCAAACCATCAGACACTCAGCCTGGCTCCCAGTCCAGGGCTCAGCTCGAAGTCCAAGCAGAGTCCATCTCCTAGGGGCCTGGCCTGTCAGGTTTGCTCATACAATCAGAAGCATTTGCAAATTAATCCAGTATGGTCATCATTTTTTTGCCACAAGCTCCCTGCAGATGTGATCTTAAAAGCACACATGAAGAAAATTAACTTTGTAGCAATTAAATATTCTAATTTGGCTTAAGGATTCTTGAAGAAGGAGTGATTGTTTTTCCCCATAAATTTTGGAGAAATGGGGAAGATTTTACATTATCCCTGGCTTCAAGTTCCTCTGTCATTTATTTATTTTTAATCCAAAGGAGAATGTTGGATCAGGAGAATTTTTCTTAAAATATTATGCTTAGTTTAGAAAAGGTCAGATTCTAATATTTTTGTAACTCACACGGGGGAGTGGTGTAGAAGGGGGGTATCAACCCCTCATTACCATGTTTCTGATCTAAGAAAGTGGATTCATGAATTACTGGAATAGTATCATACTTAAAATACAAACACAGGGTGGGGAGCTGAATGTCTGAGTCCCACCGCAGGCTGTCTATGGGGTCTGCTGTAAATGGGTCACCAATTAGATCAAGAATTTTTAAGTAAAATCAAGGATCTTTGTGTTGCCTGAAGGAATTGAAATAATGATCTCAGTTGAATTCCTGTTCCCCTCATCTGTCAGAACCAGTTAAGCACTGGGTCAAACCTAACAAAATAATTGGTCCAAATTAAGTCGACATGTTTAAATATTATCAGCACCATCCTGGGCACTTCTAAAGACCCTGTTGCTTAGGTTGCATAGAGATCTCCAATGAATTTGTCAGGGATTCTCAGGCTCCTCTTTTGCTAGAAGAATCAGAATTGAGCTCATGTTCCTCTTTCCTGACCTCATTCAAGTGCTTGACGACTTGGGTCAGTTAGTGGCACATTGTTGTATACCAAGTGACACCCACTGAAATTACCTCTTCTCCTGTACAATGCAGTTCACTTGTACATAAGTGTAATGTCAAATTGTTTACAGGTTCTCTCTGTGTGTAGTTGTGATAGCAGATTTAGCTCAAACTTTAAAAGAATCTGTTCAATGAATGGTGTTTAAAATGAATGTGCTTATTACAATATAAACATCATTAATCATGGACTTACATGAATGCATGTCTACCCGTCGTCAATTCCCAGCAGCTCGGTTATTCAGCAAAAAGTCTGTGAATAGCAAGTATGCATAAACTACGTGACTCTGGTAACTCAGTAACTGTTATTACCTTGGATTGTAACACTGTAGATTTTAGCCTGCTGTATTTCTTCCTTGCCTACTTGTTTTTGCGAGAGAAACATGGTAAATGATAGTACTACTAATTGTCCCAATGGAATTGCACACATTCTTGGCGACCATTGGTCCATCCAAAAGGCAACTATCTGCCTTCTGATGGAGCAATGGCCCTGAGCAAGGTATACATATATACATACATATCTATGTATGCAATATCAACAATGCCAATTACTACTGTCTATTCTCACTGCCAGTGGCACAAACTACTGTTTTATTTGGAATCATTGATGGATATAAAAAAATTAATTTGCTATTAACTGCTTTCATATTCTGTTCAGTTGTTATAATATGGTGAATGATACAGGTGCGGTATCAGTATTGTAAATTGTGTGGTGAACACTGCAAAAGTCATTCTGTGGATATATTTTAAAAGGCAGACAAGAAACTATATTTCAGATTCTTGTGTGAATATAATAATTACAGACATAGGTAACTATTTTTATGTGTTTCCATAAATGACTCCATTTCATATACATTGTAATTTAGCACTGATCATAATAAATAATTTGGTAACATTTAGTTGTTATATATCTATACCTATTTTCAGTATGCATAAGAGACTGATGATTTAACATTATTTCATGCTAACTCAAGAATTTTAGATGAAAGGTAATTACCATGTCAGTTAGTTTATTTCTGGTTTGCTGTTCGCAGCTTACTGGATTGGGTATAAGAAAGACATAATAAGTTGGTTATTTAAAATTCCCAGAATGAAATTTCAGGGAGCTGAGGCTTTGCCTCTGTTTTTTCTTAATTGGGTGGCTTTATGCTATCAAGCCTCTTTAAACCTCCATTCCCCCATTTGTAAATAGGAAATAAAATAATAGATACATCATAAAGTTCCTGTAAGAATTAAATTGCATAACCCAAAGTAAAACATTTAATATAGTAGCTAGTATATGAGATAAATGTTCAATGATGCCCTATCCATTCTTTTTACTACTATCCAAAATGCACATTTAAAGGAGAAATTTGGCTTAAATACTTGGACTATCTTAATATATGTATATCATTTTTTTTCTTTAGCCTTTTGGGGCATTGCCTATAGAGCTAAGTGTTCAGTATGTTTTTTTAATCAAAAGGGAAAATTCTGCAGAGAAAAAAAGAGAAGTCTATAGCTTGAGGGAGCTTTAGAAATGATTTAGCTTCCGCTGCTGTGGGGTATATTTGACAGAACACTTATTTCAAGCTACACTCTGAAAACAGGAAGGGAATTGGATGAGTACAATTTGGGAACGATGACCTTTTTACACCCTCCACTTTGTAATTTAAAAACGCACCTTATCATATTTAAAGCCCTGGGATTTATGCAGAAAAGGTGACTTCAGACTTTATTTAACGCACAATCTCTCAGAACTCCCCTCACCAAGGATTCTTCTAGTTTTGAGATGTACATTTTGGGAAATTTAGCCCTTGAGACACAGAGAGGGGGAAGGGATGTGTTGAAGGTGTGTGGTCCTGAGCCTAGAGCACCATCTCTCACCCAAGCTAGGACACTTCCTCCTAAGCCTCTGTGATGTAGATGACTGACAATGACAATGGCATTGCTCTGAAAAACTTTTCTAAAATCTGTCTGGCACAGACCCAAAGTAAGAGTCCCAGGAGGTACCAAAATCCAGTCAGGAGCAAGGTGAGGACCCAGGGAAAGGAGTCTTTCCCTAGATTCAGTCACCTCTGAGATTGCTCAGGGACAGACAGGAGGCCTGCTTGAAGCTCCCTGAGCTATTGGTCGTTATGGTGACCCAGATGCTGGACCATGGTGTCTGTCAGCCACCAGAAAAATAAGAGCTTAGGTAGACCAAAGTAGGAGAGGGGATTGGAGGAGAATTTTCTTTTGAATTCTTATGTAGGAAACTGGACTTTCCTCCAAAAACTTAGAGAGAAACCCCCTGTGCTGATAAATTGTTTGAGTAGAGCCGAAATCATATGCAGATCACAGGGAAAGGCACTGCCTCCACTATCACAGAATAATATGGACCATGAGGGTCAACATCAGGAGGAAAGTTGGCTGCAGGATTTCAGGCTACAGCTTTAAAGGATGAGTGTCAGAGAGGAATTTATCCCCTTTGTTCTGCAGTAAGTTCTCCACAAATCAAGGACATTCCCTAGAACCTCTGTCATGTGTGTGATGAGGACCTTCTTACTTACCTGAGAGCCTGAATGGAGAAGAAGTTGTGTCTGGGCCCTATCTAGGAATATACTGTTGGTGGATTGGGAAAAAGACTCCCCTTTAAATGCTTTGAAGAGATTTGTATGGTCTATTTCTCCATCCATCTCATCACCATAGGTCCAAAGAACCAGTGACTGCCCATAACCATCATCCCCCAACTCATCTGCCTCACAAATTGAATTGAACAGGATTTGATCCTAAGAATCATAGCTTTTGGAAGGAGGGTAATGAAATCTGGGAAAATACCACCTTCTCAGATAATACTTCTCCCCGCTTTCATTTCATCCCAAGGCAACCTTCCCTCCCATGCCTACAAAACATGCAGAGCCCTTCCATCTTGGCCCCAGTGGCAGCTTCTTCTGAGAATAGTCACTGTAGCTGTTTATCCCAGTAGCTGGGCAGAGCACCTTTAGCTTCACCTAGGCCAGACTCACTTTGCAAGGCATCACACCACAATGTGTCAGCAGCATAGTCCCAGGAGCTTCCCCAAACGCTCCAAGAGCTTCAGGGACACCAGGGGCTGTAGCTCAGTCTCAGTAGCCTTGTCATGAAAGCATCAGAAAGAAAGTCTGAGCAACAAACTCAGTCTTTGGCTTGCTTCCCCTCTCTGCTGGCTCACCACATCCCTGTCCTTAGTTTAACAGGCACTAAAACACTACACAATGTAAAGGGAGCTGGTACGTTGAGTGGGACTGCTGTTTTCCGAGAGCAGACCTGGGCTCCAATGTGTTCTCTGAACCTGGGTCCCCCCCAGTGGATGTGACACCTCTGAGACACAGAATCACAAAGCCACATGCACCTCTGACATGGATAAAGCATTTCTTCTCTCCACTCCTGGTCTCTCCAATTTTGTGTGCATCTTTGTGTTTCTGTTTCTTTTTATTTCCATTTCTCTCTTTTTGCTTATTGTATATCTGATATTCAGAGTAAACATGTTTAATAAACCACAGCATCCCTTATCTGACACCCAGTCCCACCTCTCACTTCTCTCTAGATCTCAGTTTCTTCACTTGATTTATAAACAAGGACTTTGAGGACAGGCTTCTATGCATCATTTGGCCATCCCTCCTCACTGCTAATATTCACCTTGGTTCTGCCTGGTCTCCCAAGTGGGAGTATGGAGGGAGGGGCAGGGAGGCTTTGGTGGCTCCCACAGGTTGACCATTTCTGATTGAGAAAGAATAGCTGGTCTACCTAAGAGAGAACAAAGGGCAAGAAAAAGGTAAGTTGGGTGCTGCCTGGTGCTCCTTTTGAATTGTGTGGTTTCAAAATTACTGTGAATGGATAAATCCTCACCCTTCCCACTGACAATGGACTCCCAGGGAGTGATGTGGATGCCAAGCCTGTTTTCTGTCAATTTCCACAGAGCCCAGGTTAGGGTCTCACCCCCTGCATGACCCCCTGTCTGACACAGTTTGTGTTTCAGCCAGCCCACTGTGAGTTCCCAGGATGTCTTCCACATGGAGAGATGGGAAGGGATTGGCAGGGTGGACAAATAGTGAAATAATCAGAGTTGGGGATGAGAGGGCCACCGCCCACAGCAGAGTGTTCTTCCTCTCCCTGCCCCCTGGAAAGAGTGTCTCTCAGTGCCAGGAAATAAACTGTCAGGGTTTGTTTTTATATGGAAATGGATGCTCTATTCTCTCTGCCACATGATATCCTATATAATAAAAGGCTGATGTGGAAATCAACTGAATGTTGCTATGACATACACTGACCACTAGGGGACAGACACACAATGCAGGGGCTGCCACCTGGTGGTCAGTGAGTTCCCAGAGGGGGAGTGCTGCTCAGTCAGAAGCCCTGGTGGGCGAGCACAGTAGTAGTGGTGAGAACCTCTTTTGCCTCCAAGAAATGCCTCTACGGCTCCCAGACTGTGAGGGCACAGGCCAGGCTGAGGTACCCCCTCAGTGCTTAAATTTTGTGCATTGGGCCTCTAATTAGTATATATACATGAGAGGGTAAAAGTGTTACTGGTGAGATGATAAGACCTTGATTCTTGTCTTCTTGAAGGAAATTCAATCAAGAGATGAAGTGTAGCAAAGCAAGTAATAATGTACTTGTAAGAAGAAGCAACAGGAGAGCCCAGGCAGCTTGTCCTGGGTTAACCCCCTGACAATTGGTCCTCTGATTGCAAGTCTTGGTTGAAGCGGGGAAGAGAAGGGCATGGGGCGCTCCCCTGGGGGAGGGAGAACCAAGCTGGATCCTTTGTCTGAGGGTATTTACCTCTCTTGCATATGGGAATCTTAGGGGGGAGTCTTAGGGGAGAATCTGAAAAGAATGTTTATCAGTTTTCCAGGTGTGAGCTTTCAGGGTCCTTGTAAGGTATTCACTGATTGGTCAGCCCCAGGGCAGGGTCATTAGTGAATTCAGCAGTCCAGAGGCATCAGGTTTGACTGCTTGCCTGGAGCTGAAATACAATTGAGGCCTAGATGTTATCTTTCAGGTGGAAAAGGTCAGGGGGTTTAAACACGTGGCCATCAATATGCTAAAAAGGAGGACAGGTTACCCTGAGAGCAAGGTCCTTGTTTTCCCAGTTTTGCCTCTTGCTGGCCCTCAGCCCTGGTGCCCTCCTGGCGGAAGGTCCTTGCTCTGCTCCTGCCTATAATGTGAGGATGGATAGAGATGTTAACGGCAGGTCTGTGTACCTGAGGGGTGAGAGAACTTTTTTCCTGCTGGACTAAGTGAATTGTGTCACAATTCTATTGAGCTCCTCCTCTGTGGGCAGCTACCTGAATGACGATCCCCGTGCAGAGCCCAGTTTCCACGTCACCGTGGGACGAAGCCCACTGAGAGCTGGCACCTGAGGTTCTCAGTGAGTATGCCTGTTCCCCACAAGTGTCCAAGGGGAGAATCAAAAGGGCAGGGTGAGGGAAGGCTCGCATCCTTTTCCTCTGAGCCATCCTTTGAACCAATTTTGTGTGGGTTTGATAGCGTTCGGGCGCCTCGCATTGATGTTTCTGAGTCTTGAGGAAATGTTGGGAAAAGCAGCATACAAGTGAAGGGGACGGCATAGAAACATGTTCAGCACAGCTGTTTCCCATGTTCTGTTATTCTTCCATTCTTACATACATGTCAACCAAAACAGAAACATGCAAGCGTCATCTGCCCTCTTCTACTCGGTGTTCCACTCTGCTCTAGTGGAGACGGACCCTTCCAGAAAACAAGGCACAAAGGCCCTTAGAAATCTTGTGAGCCAGCGGTTCTCAGCTGGGTGCAATGTTGCCCATCAGCCGGGGTGAGGGAGGTCTTGCTACTAATAACCTCATGGGTAGGTGCCAGGTTTACTATCTGACATTCTACAATGCAGGAGACAGCCCGCAACAAAAACTGTCCAGTTCAAAA